GGTATTTTGAGGATCCTAGTGGGAACAAAGGAGTTTTGACTATGAGTTGGTGCATGAGAATTTCGGGATGAACTTGGTTTAGAGTTGGCAAGGAACCTGGAATTTTCTCTAGTTTTAACTTCCTTTTTATGAGCATTTCGAGCTTCTACTTTGGGATTTACAATATCCTTCCTATTCAACATTGGTTTTCTCTTAGGATGGGGTGATGATTTTGATGTTTGTCCTTCGGATGGATTCCTAAACTCAGGAGTAATGGGAACCAATTTAGCTTTTGAAACTACTAAGGAATCCGATTCGTATGAATCAGAGTGCACACAACTTGAGACTTCAACTTTATCATCTAAGGATGCCCATACAAACTCAGAGGCAGTGGTTTCGGTTGTCTCCAGAATAATTTCCTCAATCACACAATTGTTTGCGTGATTACTTCTAGGAACATAATCTACACAATTTGGAAGACTATAATGAAATTCTGTGGTCCGATTCAGGTCCAGGTTTATTAGAGGCGGAAGAGGGGTGGAATCGGGACACTTGACAACTATTGGTTTGAACTCAGGAATTAGAGACTCAAAATGGTCTGTAGTCTCCGGAAGTGGTGACAAGGGAGAAACAGGGGTGTCTGAATGTTTAATGTTCGGAACCTCTCCCATGAATGTCAAATTTTGTAACTCCTTCAGGGGACTAGCAATTGGTTTCGGAAACTCGCTTCCGAGACCAGGTGTTTTGGACCATGGATGACGAAAATTATGAGTCATCCGAATGTCTGCTTCAAGCATGTCTACAGAGTTATGCAAAACATCTATCTGAGCATTAAGACGTTTGTTATCAGAAATCAAAACATTGCGTTCAGAATAGGTGATTTCATATTTATCTTTCAAAATGATACATTCATCTTTTGACATTACAAGTTCATGCTCTAAAGACTCGATTTTCAATTTCTTATCCTCAAAACGTAACATAAGACGACTTAGTTCACAGTCCTTCTTCTCACTGGCTTCTATGGCAGACTCATAGGCTTTATAGATGGTGTTCATATCCATTTGGATTTGGGTCAGATAAGGTTCACAAAGAGACAAATCAAAATTATTATTAGAGATCATAGATTTTACCTGCTGAACGATGCTTCGACCTGGTGGATCGTTGATGGCCATGTAGCAGTAGTGAGGTTCAGCAACATCATCTTCATCTTCTGACCCAGAAGACCAATACCCTTCATCACATTCAACCGTTTGTATTGCCATCAGACACATATTCCTTCCAGTTACCATGTCATCATCATCCCCGGATGACCAATATCCTTCAACATCTCTTGAAACCGTTGTAACAAAGGCTTTCTCACTTCCAGCCATCTCTTGTGCTCTTCGGACATAGTAGACAGAATCCTTGACTTTTGGTTTTTGTGGAGCATCAGCTAGGCAATCTTTAGCAAAATGATTTGCATGTCCACACTTATGACACACAATCTTTGGTTTGTCCGATTTGGAATTCTGAGAGGATTCCGGAGCAGAGTTTGGTTTAGAGAGGTTCGGTTTGTATGCAGGAGGATTTTCGGAAGTTGGTTTAGGTTCCGGAGCTGAATATGGTTGAGGATTGTTCTGGTGAGGAGCATTGAATCGGTTTTGGTATGGTTTGTAAGAAGGATTGAAAGGACGTTTGTACTTCATTGAGATTCGAGTGAACTCCTGTTGGAAACGGAGTTCTGAATCCATGGCTTCGGAATCATCAACAGGATAGATTTGTGTGGGTAGGGTAGGTGCGGATGATTGAACCAATGGAACAATGGGTTTGAAAGGATCCGGAGCAGATGAGTTCGGAATGGTTGATTCGAAGGAACTGACGAGGGCTAGAGGACCTCCGGAAAGTTCCCTTATGGTTTGAGCAACATTTGACTCATGTCCTTGAAGTTCATCAAAAGTTGATAGAGCTTCAACTTTTTCAAGGAACCATTGCTTTGAAGACAAAATTTTACATTTCCCCATCCTTTGCCAAGACTGTTTATGAATTTGATATTGTACTCCAAAGGATTTCGGACAATCCCATGAGCAGTCATGTTGTTGACAACGATTCGGTAACGGTTGGAGGCTGAGGCCACTGATTCACCAGGAGTGGTGGTGAAGGTGTCGAAGTCGTTGACAACTGAGGTGAGACGTTTGTCCTTCATATTTTCCGAACCTTCAATCAGGTCCTGAAGAGTGTCCCAAATCTCTTTGGTTGATTTGCATAGCTTGATATGCTCAAAGAGTGAAGGAGGAACACCAAACACCATTTCTGAGAAAGCAACTTGATCAGCATGCAACTTTTCGATATCATCTGCAGTTAGAGGAGCTGGACGAGCTTCATCTTCTCGCATGAGCTGAGCAGCTGCATCTCTTACAAATGTTCTTACAGGAACATGAGGACCTTCTTTCACGGATCTCCAGATTTGTTCACCTTTATCTTTGGCCAGTAAAAACCTTTCCATTCTAACTTTCCTGTGATCATATTCTTCCATAACTAGTAATGGGGCACGAGTAGGGCCACCCACACTATTTGCGATTTGCATTGAAATCATTTGCTGAGGATTAGAAGCAGCCATTGAAGTTAAGATATCTTCAAGCTAAAGTGGTATATAGAAGAACTTTTATCCTTATCACAATAATGGTTGAGATACCAAGGTAATATCAAACCAACTATAATCTGATCTTATGGACTCAAAGGACAACCACTCAAGCTCTGATACCAATTGTGAGTACAAGATTGATGCGCAGGGACAAGGTTTGAAAACTCAAACCTTGAGTGAATGCTTAAGATCAATGTCTGCTTGCTAATAGATGTTTCAAGTCAAGGCTGGAAAGACCAGTCAAGTCTTAGATAATATGTTCAACAAATGATCAAGTCATTAAATGAAGAATAAGAGTAAATGATCAAGGTAAAGCTAATAAATGAAGAACAAGAAGAATGTTTTGAATAAGCTTAGAGAAAATACCAAAAGTGAGTGAAAAATCTGTTGTTGACTTGTATTGAATGCTCCTATAAATAGGAGTGAATGTTACAGCGAATTAACTGGAGTGTTTACATAGGACCGGACAAAAGAAATGATTCTGACATTCTGATTGTCAAAATACAACTATAGACTAAGTCCTACGAAACGTTACATCAATAACAAGACAAACATAATAAATGCACAAAAGACAAAACATAGGTGTTCCGGATCAATATTCAGCTCCGGAATGTCTTCATCTTCATCTCTTCTTACTTGGTCCGGACAGATTCCGGACCACTCTTCACTTCAGAACGTGCACGCTTCGGAATAAGGACTTAGGATTGCTAGAGGTTCACTTTCAGGTTCCAACACCACCCCCTTCGGTCTTACAGACAAGTGCCAAGAGACACCTATTGGTCTTCCATGCAAGCATCACAAAGACAACTAGCATACATACTATTCTACGTAGCTAATAAGCATATAGTGTGCCAGGAGCCACCTCATGGTCTTTCATGCATATTGCCTAGGGCTAACCCTCGGGTCTTCCTACCATACATAATAGCATACAGTGTGCCAGGAGCCCCCCCCTGGTCTTTCATACATAATGCCTAGGGCTAACCCCCGGGTCTTCCTACCATACATAAACTAAATGGGTCGGCACTGGTGCCTTAGACCCATACAAACAGTGAGGAGACTCACATCGCACTGCTGACGTCCCGTGAATAAATCCCTGGCTACTGGCTGACAAATCCCCGAACTGTCAATTATCAAAATAACACCCAATCAGTAATTGGGTTCCAACATATACCCATAAGTCCATGCTTGGGGAAAAATGCTACTTTACCCACAACTTAGCTTGACTCAAGCCCAAGGCCCAATCCAAAGGCCCAAAAGTCCAACTATGGCTCAAAGCCCAACATATGGCCCAATTTTCCAAATTGGGCCCAAACCTTTACATGGTCTTACCCTAAGGCCCAACCATTTATTCCAGTCCAAACATTTGGCATTCAAATGGCCGAATATCTCATAATCATCAAAGCCCAAATTATGGCCCATCTATGGCCCAATTTTCCAAATTGGGCCCAACCCCTCATATGGGCCTTACCCTAAAGCCCATCTAAATGTTCTAGTCCATATGATTGTTCTTGGATGGCCCATCAATAGCCCAATCACCAAAGCCCAATAGAAAGGCCCAAGTGAAATTAGGGTTTTCACATAAAATGACGATTAGGGTTAAGTGTTTCTTACTTAACCCATTAAGGACTTAATCCATTAAGTCCATCAATCTACTAGATAAATCATATGGTGTGATCGGGTGTAATTCACAATTCCATTTCAGTGGCCCAAAATGCGGGTCCCGATTAGTCCAAACCAATAATTCCAAAATTAGGGTTTTCTAAACCCTAATTAGGGTTTCCAACCCAATCACAGCCCAATAGGCCGAAAAACTAAGCCTTTAGATCAATTAGGGTTTTATTAGGAGGCACCACCCACTACCACCTCGGGTAATGGTGGTCAACGGCGGCTCACGGCGACGGCCACCACCTCACGGTTGTGGTTATGGTTCTAGTCCATTTTTATCCAAGCATCCCAAACAAAGTCTAACACAAACAAAGCACACCGCCACCCAACACTGCGGCTGGTGGCGGCAGCCAACACCTCACGGTGGTGGTTAAGAGTTTTCTTTTGATTACACTAGCACTAATTACAATTTACAACACAAATCCCAATAACACACACACACACTCACTAACATAAACACACACACACACAACCACCCTTGTAGTGGCCGGTGGTGGTACATGGCGGCAGCCACCATGGTTGGCGGCCATGGGGGGGTATCTTTTCCGCTTTCTGGCCATCAAACACCACCTACAACACACACATACTCGATTTTGACTTGTACAAAGGACCCAGCCACCCACCTGGTGGCTCACGGTGGCGACAACGATAGATTGCGATGACAGCCACCACCTCACGGTGGTGACGATGCTTTCCTTTGGTCCACTGCCTAGCAAATACGTCAACATACGCGAGTTCACACCGGAAATGCATCCAAACACAACCACCCTCGCGCTGGTGCATGGCAATCGGAGAGGAAGCGATGAAACAGTCCCCTGGACGGTTGCGGCGGCGCCATCGGCCGGAGATAGCGGTGGCAGTGGCGTTGTCGATTAGTTTCCCTCCATTTCCGTCTGAACGATGACCTCCTACGTCCGTCTTCATCTTCAGCGACCACGAGAGACATGGCGGTGGTTTTCCGACTCCAACAGCGGTGGGCTACTCCGGCTTCAACCGGTAAGGAGGCGACTGAGAAAGCTCTGGGAGGTGGTAGCAATGGACACAACGTCGAAGAATGGTGGCAGTCGAATGGAAAGGCGGAAATCTGGTGGTCCTTGTCGTCTTCGCTGATCAGAAACAGCATAGCGGCGGCGCCGGCGGGGAGGCATAAGGGTGGGGGGTGGCGGCTGATATCCGACTCCTTGGGTTAGGGTTTACCGGGGGTGACAGGTATATATATACCCCGTCCAATTTCAAACAATGTCCATAATGACAAGATTAGTCCCTCCCTTCCCTTTTTCTTTCAATCTTAGCCCATAATTTACCATTTAAACCCTGTCTCTTGAAACCCTTTACAAATTAAGTCCGAATTTTACCAAACAGCCCCTCCCTCCACAAATCCTTTTCAAATTATTTCCAGAATTTACTCTTTAGTCCTTGCCTTCATAATTATTTACGAAACCAATCCGAAACTTACACTTTTAACCCCCAACTTCTAAAATTGTGACAATTAGCTCCTCGAGACCAACACCTTGCTATATAATTATTGATTTTAGGGCTAGTATACATTCATTAATTAATTTATTTATTTATTTAATAAACGGGGTGTTACAGTAAAGCTCTACAACATATTCACAAAAAAGATATGCACATTCTCGATCCGTTCTCTCAAATATTTTCAAATACTCATCTGGTGCATCTACAACTATGTCGTATGCCATTGTCGAAGAGTAGCTGTGCATTTTTTATATTGTAGTAAACCACGTTTACCTCTAGCATCCAATCTGAATTAAAAAAACTCATAATTATTTTCCAAATATCTAGCTATACGTAAGAAAAAATTTATACTAATACGAAAACATTCTTCGAATTTCGATAGATCGTATAAACCATGAGGGTCAAAGTAATCACGTACCAAAAATTCGTTTGTTGCGATACGATCCCGTTTGATTGAAGTTTTGCTCCTCTTTTTTACATTTGAACTTCTGGGCTCTCTGACGCAACCCTTTGCTTGCCGCTATCAACGACATGTGTACAAACAAATCATCATATTCATCATCATCATCATCTGATGAAGAAGAAGAAATTGAAGACAAAAAATATTTATGTTTGAAGAGTTTGTTTGTAGTGTGAAAAAATATGTATAAATGTAGGTATTTATAGATAAATGGGTTTAGTTTAAATTTATAAAATAATAATAATAAACAAATGCAATACTAGTATTTTTTAACATTTGGAAGAAAGAAAATTGATTGATTGTTATCACCCGTAGCCGCATCCACCCACAAGACGACTATGCCCCTGGGGTGGTGTTTACACAAGGATACATCTTCCACATCGGACATACTATGTCTTTCATGCCGGAAACCCTCGTCAGGAAAGTTCTCTTTCAAAAAAAAAAAAGGTTTCTAATACTAAATCTTTCATGTATATGTTGATGTATGATTATTTTTTATTTTATCCTAACAAACAAACATAGAAGACAAATAATATCTATTCTTTTTTCCTCGTATGAATTCTAAACATCCTCCTAAAAAAACTAAAAATATGATTTTTTTCGTTAACCATCTGTTGGATGAAAAAAAAAAAAAAAAACTGGTTCGGTTAACCTAAAAAGTAAAATCGGTTTGTCAGCTTTTAGGTTTCATATATTTTGAAGTTTGAACACCACTAAAAATGGGAGCATTATGTGTCTTTCACCAGGGGCTGTAGTGCTGTACTCTGTGCATACTGCATAAGAAAAAAGTACCCGAGTGTACTGAAATAATAATATACCCAAGTGGAAATGGATTATTGTCTGGTGGCCCCTCGTGGCCTACAATGGAAACAGACATTTCTATACAAAGATATCTGCCAAACGACATCGTATTGTTGAAACCATACAATACATCATCATTCGTCCATGATCCACCCCTCCCTACACAAACTAAAAAGCTCTGTACATGTGTTTAGATTGATTCCTTTTCAGCCCGTAGAGTAGAGTGCCGTTAGTTGAGTTAAACCCAACCCAAAGTCAGTTACATCGGCCCAATCAATATGCAAAATTCCAGTTAAGAGGCAACCTAATACATCATCTGTTTACACTTGACAGTTAGCCATTTTGTGTGTGTTCGCCGGTTTTGGATTCAAAAAACTTTGCCACAGCCTGGTAAAGATTTTCTTCCTCAAAAGGCTTCGATACGTACCCATCCATTCCACTTCTCTTACACTCTTCAAACGTCGCATGAATCACATCCGCTGTCATCGCCAGTATCGGCAAATGCCATTCAATACTCCCTACTCCCTCATTCGCCTCCCTTTCCATCATCCGTATACGCCGCGTCACCTCAAAACTGCAACAACATCAACCATCATAACAAACAAAAAACCAAAACACCGGTGCACATGGACCAGACACAGATAACTGTGCACTTGCACTGTGTCTGGTCCATTTGTGCACCGGTAAAATATAGTATTACTATATAATACTACATACCCGTCCATTTCAGGCATTTGAATATCCATGAAGCAAGCATCAAAAGCATGTGGTAGCTGAAGTAGAGCAAGGGCGGCAACACCGCTTTCGGCACACTCAACCGCCGCCCCAAATTTTTTTAGGGCACCGGCGGCAACTCTCCGGTTTACTCTGTTATCATCCACCACCAATATTTTCTTCCCACAAAGTAACCCCCGAAGATAAAATGACCCTTTCCCTTTTGCCATGGTTTCCGCCTTCTTCCCTGTTCCCAAAACCTGCTGCAAACATGCCGCCACCATGCTCGCTCTTAACGGTTTCATAATCAGAGTATCGGAAAACCCGGCGGATTTTAATTTATCGAATTCGGGAGTCGTTATATTTGTTGCTAGAACCATCTTTTTAGGGAAATTTTGAATTTTCATCTTGTTTTCGTTTAATAACCATGTGTCTTTCTCGATTAGAAGTAGATCCGGTTTTGAATATCCCAAATCCGATATTTTTATATTGGTATCGACAGTTTTAACGATTATACCGAGTCTCTGTAAATGGTATCGTGTCACTGCAGCTCTGATTGGTTTTGAATCGACCAAGGTTACATTCAATCCGTGAAAGGAATTTGGAAGATCGTCATTATAAAGTGATTTTTTCACATCGCCATTTTTGCAGGTTTTTAAAGCAACAGTGAAGGAAAAAGTGCTTCCGATTTGTGGTCGGCTGACGAAGCTTATCTGACCACCCATTAATTCAACCAAACATTTACTGATACTCAATCCGATTCCGGTTCCGCCGTAGAGTCTAGAAGTGGAACTGTCGGCTTGCATGAACGGCATAAAAACGAGATCTTGTGCGTGCACCGGAATCCCAATTCCGGTGTCTTCAACGGAGACGATTAGGTTAACAACGTTTTCAATTGGGGCTACTAATTGTTTAACGGTGTCCCAATTGTTTCTATCATCGGCGGCTTCACAACCGCTTAATGTTTTGAAATGGGACCCACACCCATTCGATTTAGCCATGTCCATTACTACAGCTTTGGAATGATCGGCGTGATGAACTTGAACGAAGATATGTCCTTTTTCTGTGAATTTAATAGAGTTTCCGACGAGATTCGTGATGACTTGTCGGAATCTTCCCGGGTCTCCGATGACAATTTGTGGGACTTTATCGGAAACAAGAACTGCCATCTTTTTAATTTCCCAATCACAGATAACGATAACATAATCAGATTAAAACAAACAATAATTTGAAAGAAACGATAATAAATAACAAGATAATCTGGTTTTACTTTTACCTCGATTCCTTTGTGTCGAGATTTTTCAGAAAATAAAGAGAGAACGTCGTCGAGAATGGAGCGGATATCAAAGGGGACGGATTCTAGGTCTAATTTTCCGGCTTCAATTTTGGCTCGATCCAGGACCTCGTTGATTAATGCGATTAATGCTCTTCCACAAGCTTGTGCAGTTTGAGCGTAATCTCTTTGGGTTGAACTTAATTCTGTATCTAGAAGCAATGCAAGCATCCCTATGAACACAACACATGTGAAGTTAATGTTATTACATTTATATAATTGAAAAAATACAGAGATGAGTTGATGAAGGTAAGTGGTGATACCAAGGATGCCATTCATGGGGGTTCTGATTTCATGTGAAACAGTCGCAAGAAACTGTGATTTAGCAACATCAGCAGCTTCTGCCCGAACTTTTAATTGTTGCATCGTGTCAAAATCATCTTCGACTTGAACAATATGAATTGCTCCCGTGTAAAACATGTAGCCAGCTAATATCACAATCACATAACCTAAAGTCGCAGTTGCAAATGCTGTCAATGATATCGGTGCTTTATGAAGATATCTGCATAAAATCTAGAACCATTAACATTTAAACTAATTACCACTTCCTTTTTTTTTTTTAATAAAAATGGAGATGAAACACATACCTACAAGTCATTTGGTGCTTCCTAAACGGATCACCAAAATCAAGCATACTCACTCGTGTGTGTGACATGTCACCATCTTCAGTTTGACGCCCATATGTGATCAATGGATTTGATGTATTTGTGACATCAAAAACTTTTACAACTATTTCTTGATTTTCAGCAAGTTGCCCTAGTAAATTTTCTACTAGTGACTCAACATCAAAAGCTCCACCTAGATATCTGTTTATGTTTAAAAAAAAAAAAAGATTATAGATATTTGTGAATACCGATTGTTGGATTGTAAGGGTAAAATTGATAAATATTATTTACCCGGCAGTAGCTGCGATGCGTTCTTGAACAGATGCGTTTGGTGGAAGCTTTGATTTGTACACAGGAAATGTCAAAACTACCCCTAGATGATTAGAACCCAGGAGCTTGAAAGGGCTTGTGAGCACTGCTTTCCCAGTTGCTCTAGCCCTCAATATGTTCTCTTTGTCCTCCTATCATCAAATTCGAGTTTCTTAAATTTAACTTCGAAGGGTATATATTTTATATTTTTATATACCCATATAATATGAAATATAATTATTAAAATAAGTAAAAAAACATACCTCGCCAGACATCATATCTACCAATTTAAGATAGGAAACGGTTTCTTGGGCGAAAATTACAGGGGCATATTCGTCACGAAATGGCGAGGGCTCTTTGGTCATTGTTCTTATGGTCCCATCATGTTGTCTCTCGAGTTCTTCTCTCTCGTAATTCATTACCCTTTGTGCATATGCAACTCCACTCAACAAAGGTCGCTCGAATGCTGTTCTTGCTGTGTATTCTGCAAATGTTTCCTAGATCCGAAAAAAACAAATTCAATCACAAAAACAAGAAAAAAGATAAACAAACACTCATTAATAATGTTCAAACCTGATCGATTACTGATGGGTTCTTGTAATAATGAAAAGTCGACACCAGAACAGCGAGAGCATGTACATGATTTACACTAACCCTAAATTGATCTTGCAACATTCTTGCCCTTTGATCACACATACTCACTAAACCCTCTTCGATTCTCTCTTGATGCCCTGCATCTATGCATTTATAAACATAAATCGCGACAAATCCAAAAGAAATGATCCATAACGCTAAGTATTTTCGTTGATTTGTTCTTGGGATATATGATTTGTACTTCCTTTTTGTGCTCAATTGTTGTTCATTCAAACTCACTGCTACTAAGTGATGGTGGCCTTGCATTTTTACACCCATCTCAGATTCAACAACAGAATTAGAAACCTGTTTTCTCTGCTTCAATTGCTTGTACCTTCACGCTTTCCTGTTGTTCGTCTTGTTCGGTTGTTCATCTCCTTATTCTTGCCACTTCATGTTTTCAAGAATCATCAGTGACGAAAAGGGATTTGGATGTTATCTTCAAAGGAGTACTTTTTTTTTAACAGAATCACTTTCTTTACTCAAAAAAGAAAAGTGGTTTACAGATTTTGTTTTCTTTTATTCAAGAAATAACCAAAATCCCACTTAAGAAACTCTATGAGGTACAAGAATCTCCCTTTCTTTTCTGTGGATTTTCACACAGAATGTGAGAGAAGAAAGAAAAGGAAGAGAATCCCACAAAGGAAATGTAAAGAAAAGAAAATTCCCAAGATCATATCAAGGGAACAACAAGCATGGTATGTTTGAAGAAGCCCTAAAAACATGCATAAAAGGGCTTGAATTTAAAGAATTTTGTGTGGTTGATAAAGGGTTTGAATAAGATTATTGAAAAATGGGGTCTCTAATATTAATCATTTCTTCACAATACACTCCAGACAAATTAAAGCACACATTTACTGTTTCCTCTGTAAAATCTTTAATATATTAAACTAAGCAAATCAAATCTTAGCTAAACTTCAAGATTCTTGACCAGAAAAACACATACAAGTAGAGAAAGAAAGCATATTTGGAAACTTTTGTGAAAATACAACGAAAAAAGTGTCCTCAATTTGGTATAAACAGAAGTCATATAATAATGGGTGTTAGGAAAATTAAAGAAAAGAAGGTGCAGTTTGGCTAAGTTACTTTAAAAAGCAACTGAACCAAATTTTGATGATTTCTTTTGAAGATACGGTGTTGTCTCCCTCTCTCCTAAAAAAACAAATTCGAAGACGAGACATTTGAAAAGCTTGAAGTTTATCCCTCAAAAATATATTTTGACAATAAATTAAAAAGTTAGCTGAAGGAAAATTAAATATTAGTTGTTAACCGATAAATTTATTCATGAAAAATAACATTCGATCATAAAAATTAAAATAACATAAATAGATATGTAAAAAAACAATTACATCCACCTTCCTAATAAATAAAAATAATTTTGTCATTTGTGATCCTCTTATGTATCACATGTTATTCTATGGTAAATTTAAATTAAGTTATATTCATGTGTCATTTTATAGTTTTTTCATTTTATTAAATTTCATATAATACTTAAATGTAATAATAAATGTATATTCAAATCATTAATACAATTTTTCTTATAAGTTCAAAATTTCTAAATTAAATCCAATTATTTTAGTTGTTTATTTATTTAAATTATTAGTTAAATTTAAAAAAATAAATAAGCACTTCAATTTTAATAATTAAATATTTTACTTTTTCTTATAAATTTAAATTTTATAAATTGTTAGATTTTCATGTTTGATTATTTTTTTAATAAACTCATGTAATACATGGGTCTCACAACTAGTATATAATAAATGTAGATTACACTTGATCCCACATCGGCTGGGAAACTCTACAGTTAAACGTTCCCGGGCGAGAGCAATTCAAGGATGAGTGGCCCCTGGGAAGTTTTCGTGTCGGAAGTCCAAAACGGACAATATTGTGATACATGTCATAGGGGATGTTACAATTGCTCAATATATAATATATTTCATCAAATTAAAAATAAATATTAGATAATTATTAACAACTTTTGTATAGTAATAGTAGTATAGTTTTGTCGATGAAAAAATGTTGATGTAGTACAATTAACTTTTTGTTTTAGTTCGATTTGACAAACTATGTTATTTTTTTGCACAATAGACCATTAATGTTTTACTGTAGCTGTCAATTACACCAGTGTGACCGATTTTAGAAGGTTTCCCGATTTCACATCCTACCTGTCATTTATTTTAAGTTGAAACTGTTAATGATGTGTATATTTGGTCCACGTCATTTTGATGAAATATATTAACGCATAGTCTCACTTCGCCAGTCTCCTTCCCCTTGACCTCATTTTACTCTGTGGAAAGTAAATTGTGAGTCAACATTCAGGGTTTTCACAGTTGCCTTAAATCGAGGTATCTGTGTTGGCGATCGACTTCTAAATGAAGCTAGTAGCAGAAATGGTACAACCTAATCTTGAAAATGGATTGTTTGTGATGGTGGAGCTCAATTACCAATGTGTATTTACTCATAATCATTTTTCTTACTTGGGGGAGTGAAAAGCTCCTTCAATAATGTTGATTTTTCTTCTATGACTTATTCTTTCCCGGAATGTTTCATGCATGAGGAGATTAAAAAACTTTACTACTATGAACCAGAAAAAGTTCTATGTGATAGCATTCGACCTATTTTAGATGATGTAGATTATTGTGCTTTTATTTTTTATGCATATGGCACATATGACATAATTTCTGTCTATGTTGACCATTACGTGGATGGAATTGGGGGGGGGGGGGTGGTTTGATGAAGAACATAATGAAGGTGATGATAACGACTCATGTGTTGATGGTGTTGAAAATAGAGATAATCTTAGTGATGTAGAGGTTGAAAATGATGACGATAATATCCCTATGAACAGAACAGCCCATGATCCTTTCTTGATTCAATTATGTGTTAAAGGGGGTTTGGATGATGAGGAAAATGACTTTATAGATGATGATAATGGGATGGAAATACATGATTCCCTACATATGCATTCCATTTTCAATGAGAGCTTACACTGGAAAAAACAAAAGCCCGTACTTGGAATGAAATTTAAGGATCCACAACAATTGAAAAACATGTCGTGCAATTATGGAGTGGCTAATGGGTACCAATTATGGTTTGAAAAGAATGACAGACATAAACTTCTTGGTTAGGTGTTGTAAAGGTGCTTGCACATTCAGATTATGGGCCTCATGGATGAGTGATGAAGCTATTTTCCAGATCAAGTCTTTGAAGGATGAGCATAATTGTGTTAGGAATTTTAAGTTAGGCTCATTGGTTACATATTCATGGATTAGGAGCCACTACCAAACAAATTCTACATAGGTAGAAAATTAGTGTGAGGAAACTTAGACCAGCAGTGATCAAAAAGTTTGGTGTGAATGTCACCATAGGGCAATGCAGAAGAGCAAAGAAATATGCAATGGAACTAGTAGAGGGTAATCTTAAGGATCACTATGCAAAACTCTGGTCATATAGCCAAGAGATTCTGAGAACAAATCCAGGTTCCACTGTTAAACTTGAGGTGGATCATATGCCTGATGGGAAGAACAATTTCAACAAATTTTATATGTGTTTTGATGGTGTGAAAAAATGTTTGATGGAAGGTTGATGAAAGATAATTGGACTTGGTGGGTGTTTATTGAAAGGTATTTGTAAGGGGGAGTTGCTTAGTGTTATAGGTAGGGATGCAAATGACAAAATCTTTACTATTGCACGGGCAGCAGTGTGTGTGTTGAGAACAAGCAAAATTGGAAGTGGTTTTTAGATCTTCTTATTGATGATCTTCATTTGAACTTAGGAAATGGATACTCTTTAATGTCAGATCAACATAAGGTAAGTGTTTTTATTATTTCATCCTTTAATTCATGATATTTCTTATTATAACATCATGAAAAAATAATTTCCTTTTTAAAGGGGTTAATTGAGGTTGTGAAGGAGATGATGCCTTTTGTAGAGAACAGACAGTATGCTAGTCATATTTGTCAGAATTTGCTTAAGAGATATAGTGGGGCCCACTATGAGACACTGTTTTGGAGAACATCAAAAGCATCAACTTAGAATGTATTTAAATCTACCATAAAAGAATTGGAAATTTTAAACCCATTGGCACATAAATACCTGATGGACAAGGATTCAAAAACTTGGTCTAGGGCATACTTCCAACTAGGTAGATGTTGTGACTCATTTGAGAATGACATGTGTGAGAGAGCTTTAATGTTGTAATTGTAGATGCCAAAAAGAAGCCAATTATAACAATGTTAGAAGAGTTGAGATTGTACATGATGGAGAGATTGTACAATATGAATGTGAGAGGACAACAATGGGGTAATCAGATTTGTCCAGAAATAAGGGATATGGTAAATGAGCTTAAAAAGCACATGTGACGTTTTGAGGTGTTAGCAAGTAGCTTAAACCAATTTGAAGTAAGGGGAAATGGTGAGGCATTTAAGGTTGACCTTGACATAAGGACATGTTCTTGTAGGTTGTGTCCTCTTTAAGGCTGACCAGTTCAACTAAATCCTCCTTTGATTCTACCTACTGCTTTAACGTTGTGATAAGGTTCTTGTAGTACCCCTCAGGCAGCTCATCGTCTTTCCAGAAGGCGTAATCACAACTTTTTAATGTTGTCTGAAATATACACTAGTGTCAAATCATATGAGATCTTAGAGGTATATACAATAAATAAATGCTACAAACAAAGGGATCCCACAAACAAATCATTCCTCTCAATATTTTCACAAAAATCAACAAGATTACACTATTAGGGTTTTCTTAGGCTTATCTAAACTTCATAAATACTACAAATCGTATGATTATTAAAGATTACAAGAAATCGCGACCATGAGAGCTTACCAAACTGTTGCGACAGTTCCAGAACCGCCTTCCTAGGTTGTGATATTTCCAGCTCGTCCGTTCCTTCGTCGGCTTGTCACACCTACAAGTCTTCAGCTCATCTGACTCCCTAAAGTTACTGATCTGGATGGGAGGGTTTCTAGAAGAAGAGATCGACGATCGCGACATTGATTTGGATATTTGCTCAAGAGAAGCTTACACAGAAATGGAAAGATTTAAGGTGAGGGTGTTCCATTTACGGATGTTATGTTTTTTTGTATAACGGGGGAGTTGACGTGGAGTCAACATGGAAAAAACGTGGTAGTTTCCCATTAACTTCCCCTACACATCGGATGCCAGGTATGATGTGAAACTGGGAAACCTTCTAAAATCGGTCACACTGGCAGCTACAATAAAACATTAATGGTCTATTATGCAAAAAAATAACATAGTTGGTCAAATTGGACTTGACCAAAAAGTTAATTGTGCTACAGTAGCATTTCCCTAAAAAAATTGACACAATAGGTTTTTAAACTTTTGACTTAATAATCTTGTATGTTGACAGGTTTAGTCCTTATATAGAAAATAAATTATAAAAACTCTCTATAATTTACACAAAATGTCAATGTCTATTTTTTACGTCAACCCATGTATGAATAGTATAATTTTGTCTTTTAGACTTTTGACGTAATAGTTGTGATTTTTCGACTTTTACCACAATAGTTTCGTGTATCGGCAAGTTTTGGTTTTTGTATAGAAAGTAAATTACAAAATTATCCTTGTACTTTACAAAAAAATTCTTGTCCATCTTTTACATTTGACTTTAGACTTTGGCTACAATACTTCCGTAAGTTTGCAGGTTTAGTCTTTGTATAAAAAAGAAATTATAAAAGTTGTCAATGTAATTTACAGAAAATATCATTGTGCTTTTCTTACAGAAATTATTCATGTGTTTAAATAATATATTTTTTGGTTTGAGACTTTGGCCACAAGACTTTTGTATGTTGGCAGGTTTGGTTACTATGTACAAAAATAAATTACAAATTGTGTCTGTAGTTTACAAAAAAGGTTTTATGCATAATTTTTTTACAGTAAATAGTCCATATGTTTGAAAAAACTAGAAAAATGGTCTCTGTTTAATAAAAATTTATAAATTATATCCCTGTAAAACGGACATAAATAGACTCTCGGTTTGCATCCCTCACGAAACGTAAAGAAGGAAATTTCTAGTTATAAATATAAAACAATTCTTAACTCTAGTAAAAAGAAAAGCTAGGTACACCATGTTAGAATTAAAAAAAAGGTTTTTCATAAATAAATTTTAAAAAACTAATATTTCTTAATTCTTTTGTGAATTTTTAAAATATTTGATAATTAGGCTATGTTTTATATAATAACTGAAACACTATCTGCTAGCTAATAATTGATAGCTGAAAAGCTAGTTTTTTACTAAAAAGCTAGTTGCTAGCTTATAAGCTAACTGATAAAAAAATGATGTTTGATAAAAAAACTAGTTAATAAGTTTGCTGGAATACATAAAATGACATAAAAGGCATTTAGAAAAAAATGTTAGTTATAACTAATTAAGGGTATATTTGGAAATTTTTAAAAAGCTCATGTAAATCTAGTCTAAGTATATTTTTAAAAAGTTAGCTTATAAACAACTTATTAGCTAGTCAAACATGATATCTTTAAAAAAATCTCAAAAAGTAAACTAACTTATCAACTAGCTATGGTGTGTCAACAACCTTAATCAAATAGTTATATAAATTAACCCAAACGTTGATGTTACTATTATATTTCAATGCATTGGTCGATGAATGTGATTCTTATTAGTTACATGAAAAATAGAACTTTTCAATGTAAAATTATTATACATATTAAATTGGATGGTGGCTTATGAATAGTGTCTAGTATGGAATCGGCTCCAATACTGCCTTGTTTCAAGTCGTCTTTAGGTGGCAATCGTCTGACTAGCCTCTGATTGCCTCATGCCCTCTACTTTTCATTTTCTCATGTTACCAACTTCCTTTTGTTCATTCGGTCTTCGAATTTACTTTTGTCAACCACATGTTTTTTGCCGCCCCTGTTACTAATTTGCTTGTAACATCCTAAAGTTTAAGGCTAGGTTCTTAAATTAATAAAGTAAATAAATTAAAATGATTTCTATAGTTAAATCGTCAAGGAATAATCAATATCATTGGTCGATATGAAGTCTAAAAATTAGAAGTAAAAATAATAACATTTTAAAAGCTAAAGGGCCGAATATGTCAAGTTGACAAAGTGAGTTAACCAAAGGGTTGACTCGGTTGATGAAAAAGACTACTAAAGTTATATAATGGATGGAGGAGGACTTGTTATGTCAACATTTTAGGAATATATGAAAATAAATAAAGTAACGGTAAATTTGACAAAATATGTAAACTAGAGGGACCAAATGTGAAAATATTAGGGAAATAAGATGCATTTGTTTCCCTTCATTCATCAAAAACACGGGGGGAAAGCTAAGGAGCTCTCCCATGGTGATTTCTTCCATTTTGTATCTAAGGCTTGATCCAAGCAAATATTTAAGTATCCAAGCAAAAGAAAGAGGAATCAAAGGCTTTTTAGGTATAACTTCTCCTACTCTAGCTCTATTTTCAAGTTCATCAATGGGGATGAAACCTAATGTCTATTTTGGCTTCAATTGATGATTAGGGTTTGGTCTTCTAACATTCTTTGAGTGGTTTCCATGGTTCTAATCCCAATCCAATCGTCCCATTGATGGATTTGATAATTTAGGTAAAAATCTCCATGAACCCTAGAAATCTAATTTGGGGATTTTGTATCCATAAACTATTATGGGATTAATTCAATGACCTAGATGATATTTGATGACAATGAATCTAATTTGAATTCCTAAACACATCCATGATGGTAGAATGTTGCATAAACATAGATATTTGGTGGTTTGGGGGAAATAATGATGAAAACAATGGTTTGTAAGTGAGCATTTGATGATTATATGACACTCATAAACAAAATTTGATACTAATAATATGATTTGAATGCAAAAACATGAAGACTTGCATGATTTTTAGTTGAATTTATGGAATATAAAATAATACTTAATAGGACATTTAAACTAAATGTGGGGGGCCGAGCTTTAATTTTTTAATCCATGTGGTCTTTTTTACTTGTAATTTTTTAATCCGGCTACCCCCTTAATGCCTCCGCCACATATGGGGGATTGATTTTGTTCCTTGCACCTTGTAATTTGACTTGGGAAGGGATCAAATGATATGATATTTTATGTTATGTATCAAATAATGTTCTTGTAAATGCTTTGAAATGTTTTGGATCATATACCCACGTATAACGTGAGATATAAAAGGAATGAAAAGTGGAAAAATGTCTTTTGAAATATGTTTTGCTTAATGAAAGGCTTTTGAAAGAAATGTGATAAATGTTTAGGTCACAAACATACGTATCTCACGAGACATTATTATCTTACGTATCTCTTTCTAATGTAATGTATCTCATGTTACACTCAAGGAGAAAGGATGATCGATGAAAGTTAGAAGTTAAGAGATAGTGAATGGAGTGGAGCTTTAAGTTCCTTATCAATGGTATTGATGTAATTCGTATTTGTTTGTTATGGTTTGAATGATGCTTAATGGTAATACCCAATGTTTTAATTGTAAACTCTTTTGCGGGACCGAGTTTTTGTTAAATATGGGTTAATCCTCAAAATGATTTTATAACCACAACATTTTAAACTTTGAAAGATATCGGGGTGTTACACTATTTCTTCCATATGCCCGTTCCTTTCTTCAAATTGGTTTTTAAATTAAGAAACACCCTTTTACGATGAAGCCTACATCTCAGAAAATATGTTGGTCCTGGAATTAACATTGAATGTGGAAGTCGTCCTTCTTGTGTTCGTGTCAGATTATACACCTGAATCTTGATATTGTCTTCGTCTGCTCCAGTTGTATCCCTTCAGGTAAGATTTTTACTCACCTTCTAGTCAACTTTGTTTCCTACCTTTTGTCTATAGTTTATGTATTTTTGAATACCCATTTAGGGTTTATGGACATGATAATGCATTCAAGAACTACATTTTCAGTTCTAATTTTAATTTAATAAAGGTTTTTGTAATTGTGTGTATATGTTTGTTTGTAAGGACTTTGCGACAATTGGCCATGTTTTATATCCTTTTTTTCACACATAGTGGTTATAATTTGAGGTTTGTAAGTTTATTGTGGCGATAAATAAAAGTTTGGAAAAGTTTTTTATGATATGGGTCTAACTGCATATTCCTTCGATCACTTCTTTCATACATAGTGGTTATGATTTGAGATTTTTAAGTTTACTGTACCGAAAGAGATAAGCTTGGAAAAGTTTTCCATGGTATGGGTCTAATTTTGTATTCATTCTATCACTTTTATAATATAGTTATTTGTCCTTAATTTTACTATTGTTTACAAATTGAAAGAATTTTTATATGGTGAAACTTGAGATGGGCTCATTCTGGCTTATAAACGTGTATTGATTATCCATGCACATTTAAAAATTCCAGAATCTTCATGTAATTTTCCATGAATCGAATTACAATAGCTAAACTAACATTAGTAAGGTGTTATAATATATATTTCAGTACCTTATGTTCATTAAATTGAAGAAAACCACATCAATTTTGTCAAATATTAGTGAGAATGAAGTTTATTCTTGAGTTTTGTGTTTGATCAATATGCTCAAGAATCATTATTGAGTGATATTTCTAATAACATATGATCCTATAGGGTCACACCTTAATGAAGTTGGTACTTATTGAATATTTGATTATTAATAAATAAATTCAACTATTGTATTTAATAGGAGAATTATTATTGTTTTATGAAAATAATAATAAAAGTAACAACAAACTTGTTATTATATCATATAGTATAATAAATAAGTCATGTACAAAGTTTTTGGACATTTTGGGTAACCATGACTTAAGTGGTTAATTAGTTTTGTTGAGTAAATAAACTAGCAAACATTTTTTTGTCTTCTTGTAACATCCCACAAATTTCAATAAATTTAAACTTTTCAAAACAACTCATTTACTAATAAAAGTGTTTACAAAACCTCTGTTTCCAAAACATGATTTAAAATCAGAGTCTCCCAAGATCCAATCAGTAGTAAAACCAAGGATGTGTACGGTC